ATCAATGAGGTAGAAGACAGGTTAGTGGAAATCACTCCTGCAGAACAGAAAAAAGAAAAAAGAATGAAAAGAAATGAGGATAGTTTGATAGAACTGTAGGACAACATGAAGCACACTAATATTCACATTATAGGGGTCCCAGAAAGAGAAGAGAGAAAGAACCTAAGAAAATGTTTGGAGTGATAATAACTGAAAACTTCCCCAATTTGGGAAAGGAAAGTCACCCAGGTCCAGGATGCACACAGAGTTCCACACAGGATGAACTGAAATAGGAACACACAAAGGTACGTAGTAATCAAACTGACAAAAATTAAAGATAAGGAGAAAATATTAAAATTAGCAAGAGAAAAGCAGCAAATAACATACAAGGGGACACCCATAAGGTTATCAGCTGATTTTTCAGCAGAAACTCTACAGGTCAGAAGGGAGTGGCATGATATATTTCAAGTGGTGAAAGGGAAAAACTTACAACCAAGAATACTCTATCCAGCAAGGCTTTTGTTCAGATTTCATGGAGAAATCAAAAGCTTCAATGATAAATAAAAGCTAAAAAGATTTCAGTACTACCAAACCAGCTTTACAACAAATATTAAAGGAACTTCTCTAGTCATCAAACCATAAGAGAACAAAAAGAAGAAAGAGAGGAGGGAAAAAAAAAAGACCTACAAAAGATTGCTTTGGCAGTTTGGAGTCTTTTATGGTTCCATATAAATTTTGGAATTGTTTGTTCTAGTTCTGTGAAAAATGTTGTGAATATTTCAACAGGGGTTGCATTGGATATGTAGATTGCTTTGGGCAATATGGCCATTTTGATAATGTTGATTCTTTCAATCCAAGGGCACAAGATATCTTTCCATTTCTTTGTATCATCTTCAATTTCCTTCATCAGTGTTTTACAGTTTTCAGGTTATAGGTAACCTCCTTGGTTAGGTTTATTTCTAGGTATTTTGTTGTCTTTGATGCAATGGAAATATTTATGTCACTTTTAAAATTCTGGATTTTGAAGTGAAAAAAAAAATAAAGAGAATGAAGGACCACAAATGGTAAAATATCCTTCTTTCTTATGGGTGAGTTGTATTCCATTACATGTATGTGCTGCATCTTCTTTATCTATTCATCTATTGATGTGCACTTAGGATGCTTCTATATCTTGGCAATTATAAATTTATAATAATTATAAATAATTGCTGTTAATAGAAGGGTGTATGTAACTTTTTGAATTAATTTTTATTTTGTGGTTGGCTTTATTCCTTTGGTAACTATGTAAGTTTAAAAAACCAAAGCTCTAAACATTCTTAGAAACAATGAACAGTACATATATGTAAATTTTTTTAAATATGTGGAAAATACTGTGTATATGTGTTCATATGAAATATACTATATAGCAGTCAAACTGTAACAATTCTACCTAATAAAACTGAAAAATGAAAAAACAAATAAAAAAAGAGAAACAAAAACATTTTTCCACACAGAGACTTACACATGAATAAACAGCTTTATTGTATTATCCCCACATTAAAAATAACCCAAATGTCTCTCAAGGTAGATGGCTAAACAAATTATGGTATCCATAATGGAATCCTATTCAGCAATAAAAACTATTTTTATTCAAAATCATTACTCTGAGTGAAAGAAATCATGCAAAAAGAGGACACACTATCTGATTTCATTTACATAAAATCCCAGAACATGCTAACCACTGTACAGTGACAGAAAACAGGTCAGTGGATGTTTGGGGATAGGAGTAGAGGGAGGAATGGATTGCGAAGAGACACAAAATAACTTCTGGGAGACATGGAAATGTTATCTTGATGGTGGTTTCATGGGTACTTACATATGTCAAAGCTGATGATATTACCTACTTTAAATATATGCAGTCTACTGTACTTCAATTATACCTCATAAAAATATTTTTAAAAATTTTAATGGGAATTGGCAGTACTCCAGGGCTAAAACCCACCATCCCAAACAAATGGGAACAATCTCTACTAGAAAGACTGGATAGAATCAACAGGCCATTAAGAGTCAAGTCCCATGTGACTCCTTTTAGGAAACTCTCCTCATAGGAATTTCCTTACTCTTGGTGTAGGACTCAGATATACCCACTTCCCCTCTCATGAATAAGCCCAAGCATAGTTTAAAAAAAAATCAATAGTTTATATGATCAGCATGAATAACATCTTGGGAATTAAGTCTAAGTGGATAGGGAATCCCTCCCTCTAGATCTCTTATTTTTAAAGGACTTAGTAAAAACAGTTCTCAAGTATTTTATACTACATATCAACTCAGGGCATTTGACTATTTGTTAAAAACCAGATTAATCTCAAACTTCCCTTCCCATAAATATGACAAGAAGAAGCATTTGGCTCAAACAATAATTATCATAACTGTAGTTACTTTAAAATAATTTGTTGTTTGTGGCACCTTCCACATTTGTACCTTCCTGTCTCAGCTTCTTATCATAAAGATGAAGAGTTTAAACTACTTTCAACTCCTTTCTGATCTACGAGGAATTTTTAAGAGCCGCTAGTTCATTCTCTAGGTGCAAATATTTAGATTTCATTGGAAAAATATTTTAAGCTCATCTCAGTATCCTTTGCAGCTTCCTTTTATTTTACCCAATCCTTAAATACTCATGTTTTCTCTGAAAAATAAAGGTTTCATCCTTTACTCTCTTCTAGTCTCACTTCTCACCAATGACTCTCAAACTTCACAATCTCTTAGGCCACTTAAAAATTAAATAAAAAATTAAGATTCTGATGCCCTGACCCCCATGATTCTGATTCTGATTAACAGAAGAGGGCCCATTAATCTTAACATTTCTTTTGAGGAGTTAGGTAATTAGGTATGTATGTATGTATTACTTCACGGAGGTACTGGGGATTGAATCTGGGACCTCGTGCATGCTAAGCAAGCAGTCTACCACTTAGCTATACCCTCCTGCTTAATCTTTACATTTCTTAACAATTACCCACTTGCTATTCCGTCACATCCTTTTACCCATTCACATTCTGTTCTTACTTCTAAGAGGAAAAAAAGCCTTTTCCTTCTGGCTAACTGCGTAATTCTTTGACTTTCAAGTCTGTTTAGGAGTGATTTGCTCTGGTAACCCTTCCTTCCAAACTATCCCTTTCCCCAATGGCTATGTTAAATTCCTGTTTAAAAACATTTAATTACACTGTATGGTGTTGATCTCCTTGCCTAGGTTTGTTAGACTGCTAGTTCTATGTTTTTCATTTCTGTATATCTAACGTACTACACAGCTGGCACAGCAGATATTTAGTAAATGTTATATGAATGAATTAATCTCTACCAATGAGTATCTCATTAACAAGAATCTTTTCTGTATTAACAAATACCGAAAAGCTTAGCACATTCAGTACACCATATAACCAACCAGTCTTAAAGCCAAGTAGTTTGAAAATACAAGGATTTCTTACAGTCATTTTAACCAGTCCTTCCCATGTTCATCAATGTATTCATGAGTACATATCTGATGTCTGAAAAAAAATGCAGGGCTACAGAGTCTCATGCTATTATAATTCGTACTTTTTTTTTTTTTGCAATCTAAGTTTTCCTCCCCACACTAAGATTAGACCTGCACTTCCAATCAGATGGCCACCAGCTACAGGTGGCTATTTAAATTTAAATTAATTAAAATTAAGGACAATTAAAAACTCCTTCCTTAGTCACACTAGCCACATTTCAAGCGCTCAAAAGCCATACGTGGCTTGTGGCTACAGTTTGGGACAGTGTGGATACAGAACATTTTCATAAACAGAGGAACTGCTATTGGACAGTGCTGGCGACACAATTATAAACAGACCGCAGAAAACCTCACTTACTTCTTAGCTCCCACGATCCTCGTGCTCCTCTGCTGCTTAAAGGATGTGGGTCCCGGGGTCTAGCAAATTGCAAGCACATGAATGAATGCTAGGGACTTCGGAACCTTGACCACAAAAAGAACCTCCCATGAGGAGAAACGAAGCTCTCCCGGTGCTACTACCTCAAATGGAAGGCGGCAAGACTTTTTAGGAAAAGTGTGCCGCCCCATCCTCCTACAGGGTCAAAGCAGGTGACAACACCAGAGCCTTCATTTCTCCCATTCTCAAAGCCTTGTCCTAGACAGAGGCTCTAAAAGGGAGGCGGAAAGGGAGGCAACGGATACGGGAAGCAATGGGGATGTAAAGGCAATAGAGACTAACGACAATCCGACGAGGAACAGAGTCCAAGGGAATGAGGAACAGGCAGCAGAAAGTGGAGGAAAAAAGAGGGGACAGGTAGATCTGACCTAGAAGGGTGGGGCCTACAATGGGCTCAGATAAAACCAACTCTGAGCAGGAAACAAAAGGGAGGGACGGCGTGTGGCGAGCTCGCCAGCGCTACCCCTAAGGCATAACGGTCAAACCGAGAAACTCACGGCGGGCACTGCACCCAGTCTCGAAGACATCACTCCCTCTCCACGCCTAACAAATTCACCCAAGGGCTCCGGCCAGACCAACGCCACTTCCGCTCTCCTCTCCGCTCCCGGATGTGGAGTCGGCGCCGCGAGTTCGGTCTCGTACGTCTACTTCCGCCTAGCTGCTTCCGAGGGGGCTGCGACCGGGGAGAGTCACGTGACGAGAGCCCCCCACCCCCATCCGCGCGGCGGCCCGCTTCCTTTGAGACCCCGCCCCGGGGTTGCGCTGTGGGACCCGGGAAGCTGGGGGTGGGATTTGGAGCCTCAACTTGGCTTCAGAGCGTCCCCCCCGAGCCCCGCGCCTCGTCTCATTCCCTCGGTTTGCACCACCCCTCTTGCCACTCCAATCCCATCCAGCACGACGAGTAGTCTTTGTAGAGGCACAGGGAGGTCAGTTATTGCCCCTTTATTTATCTTAGGGAATAACAGACCCATTCCCGCCTTCCCTCCCCCCAGGTAGAGAGACGTAGAAGCTCTTTTGTCGCTGAGGGCGCGGGAAGTGGAGGCCGAGGCTGGGCAGGAAAGAAGCCAGGAAAGGGCCGCTCGGTGGAGACTTCAGTGAGGCAATGAATAACGGGGGCAGGTCCCTTCGCCTCTACTAGTGTTAGGCCTGCAAACCTGCCCTGCCTTGGAGTTTTCTGGTGTGGTCGCCAGGAGACGTATTTGAGTTACTCATGAAATCTTTAGCCAGACTATGTCTGGGCCTCTCCCTGAGGGAGCTGTGCTTGAGTCTCTCCTTAGGGGGCCTGTGGTGGCTCCTCTCAGAGTGACTGTGTCCGCTCGTCTCAGAGGGCCTGTGCTGTCTTCTCTCAGAAGCGCTATGTCCTCTCCTCTCAGCTGCACTGCGACGGATTTTCTCAAAGAGGCTGCGATTGCTCCTCTCGGAGGGAGTGCGACACCTTCTCTCAGAGGGACTGCGACACCTCCTCTCAGAAGGACTGCGACATCTCGTCTCTGAGAGACTGTGATGGCTCCTCTCAGA